ACTTAATTGTTTAGCTTTAGTTAACATGCTTTACATTGCTCTTTTTGCCTGTGTTGCTTGCTTATGGGCTTTGTTATATTTTCCATTAAAATTAAATGTGTACCTAAATAGACATAATCATGTAAAATTTCAATTTGTTCATCTCCCAAACATAAAAATTGAAGTATTTTGAACCCTACCTTTTATAAAAATTATAATTTTGTTTTACTTGTATTGACTGTGAGTTTCCACATGTCGCAGTAAACATATAGAGCACTTAATGCTTTCTGGAGCTCTGAGTGACTTTTGGACATAATAATTGTATCATCTGCATATAATTTTTAAAAAAATGATCTGAGGAACACTTCTGCATCATCATCACTTAAGACATTAATAAATTCATTAGCCAAGTTATCCAAACCTTTATAATACCGACTAACAAAAAATTTGAAGTCGTTAAGATACATAGCAAACAAAAGAGAATATTATTTTCTCCTTGGCGTACTCTAACATTACATGGGAAAAATTTAGATATCACACCATTCTGTTTGACACATGACTTTGTGTTATACAAATTATAAATGACATTAATGACTTTACCATTTTTACCACATGATATTAGTTTACCCCATAGATCCATGATACATGACTCATGATCAGTCAACCAGGTCAAACTCTTTTATGTAATCGATTAAGCGCAATACAACTATAATATGTTCATTGGTGATCCGCTCCGCTAGCGGATCACCTATTGTTATTGTACGAAATCTTTTTTTTTTTTCATTCTAGGTTCTCCCCATTTTTGTTAGCACGATATCTAAAAATTGGCACAAGATTCATACATGCACGCTTTAACAAACATTTAGCTTGGCCTGGAATAGTCACAATAAGGTTTTCAAAGTGCGTAGTTATGCGTGTCGTATCTACGCGCAATTTTGCGTTTTTACATTATCGATCATATCAGCCTAAGCAATTGTCATTTCGAAATCGTATTAAGTGAGCATTAACTGTATGTAATGTAATTTACCCTAAATTTACGCGTACGCGTCAAACTTTTAAAATGCTCGAAATCACATTTAGATTAAATTAGAGCACGTTTCAGGCCATTTTGAGGATTTCAAAATTTTTTGAAATTTACCACTGCGCATTTTTGCGCGCGCAGCACGTACGGAAGCTATAAATTAATTTTTTTTGTCACATTTTGGGTTCCTGACATTGTTTTGACAAGTTTCCAATCTTTTCAATTACTCTATAGCCAATAACAATGCCGTACGCACGCATCAAACATAGTGACCTTTGAGCGCATTTGTGCCGATATACAGTGAAATTTTGCTAAAATCAGGCCTAATTTTAAACAGTTACAGCTCTTTAGAATGAAAGGTGACCCCCAATTACATATTCTGAAAGCACATGAGTTGTAAATATGATTTTATAGGTCATAATGGCTGATCGGACATTATGACGTCATCATATTGCCATCTAAATTCAACAAACTGAATATTATCGATGACCTCATTTTAGCAAATGCGCATTTGAGCATATCTCGCTTATTCTTGATCGATTGTCTTCCAACTTTGAGTATGTTGTAGACATCATCATGGTCAAAATATAGGTTTTTGCTTACCCCCCTCATCTTTCTTTCGTCCAGCCTTTGATGACCCCAAAATCACCTTAATCAGTCGTGATTTCTGAATAATATTTAGTGGGTATAAACTTCAGGTCATGGTTAATGTATGTACATTATAATTTTGTGCGCGCGTAATAACGCGAGTGTTCGCGTGCGTCAAAATTAATATATGCTTTATATCATGTCTTTTTAAAAATCTGTTATAGCTCCTTAGGATGAAAGGTGACCCCTAACTTTTATTACATATTCTGAAAGCACATGAGCTGTAGATATGATTGTATATATCATAATAGCTGATCGGACATTGTGACCTCATCATATTGCCATCTGAATTAATAAACAAGAAAAAAATTATATTTCTTTTCTCAAAACGTTGATGACCTCATATCATATTAACCATTTGTCATTTCTGAATAATATTAAATGGGCTTATACTTCAGATCAAGTTTGAATGTTAGATATCTTACTTTTTGTTTGCGCGTCTTAACGTGCGCGTACACGTGCGTCAAATATTTCATATGCTTATAATTATGCCTATTTATAATCAAATATAGCTCCTTAGGATGAAAAATGACCCCCAATTTTTATTACATATTCTAAAAGTACATGAGTTGTAGATATGATATTATATATCATATTAGCTGATCGGACATTGTGACGTCACCACATTGCCATCCTGAAGTTAAAAAAAACTGAATTTTTATATGATTATTGATAAATAATATGAATGATCATTACTACTTCACCAACAGGCGTTTGTCAATGAAAGTTGATACATATATAATTTATATCAGGCGTCCATAACGTGCGCGTACGCATGAGTAAATCTTTTAAAATGCTCAAAATTCTTTTTTAACAAACTATATTAGCGTATTTTGCCATTATCAGCATTTAATTATTGTTCAATCCGCCACACGCACATTTCCTCATGGGTCAAAAACCTCCATTCTGACAGAGATGGCTTCTACAAACACCTTGAGCTAATAGATAATATTTAAGCAAAAGATAATTGAAATAAAAAAATTATAATATACACTAAACAAATAATGCTAAATTGCAAAACTATAATTATGATGACTTTAAAGATGATATATTTTTTTTTTAAATATTGTATTATAATATTGTATAAAAAATTAATATAGTACATATCACACAATTATACCCGCTTATGATATGGATTAACCAAACTAATGTTGATTGGCCTTTTCCCTTAAGTAGAAGTCTTCTCAATGTTATTATGCAGATATACTTTTGCTTGTAGAATTGTATGAATTATTAGTCTGATTCTGATTGGCCTCTTGCAGTATATTAAAATTAGAAAATTTGTAAATGAATTATTTATTTAATTAAGAGTAAAGAGGCTCGTTTGACAGTTGAACTGTGACTTTATCTCTTACAAATGTTTTCTAAAAGTCACGTCACTGAACAACACTGAAGGCAAATAAACGTTACAATATCTATGTCTCCATGTGAGGAATAAATAGGTTAGATGTAGAAAAAAATTATTTTGGTTTTTTTTAACTGACGGTCATAAAGTAATATTCTCAAATACAAAATTACTATAAATCATCATTTTGAAGACTGCTGAGAGCCTTTAACTGTTTCACAGAAAACACCAGAATAACATGTTGGACAGTTACAAGTGTAAGCAGTACAGGAACAAGAAACAGCATTACAAGCACCTCCATTTTGGCAGAGGTTGTTAGAACAAGCATCTAAAACTAGATAACAATTTTATAAAAAATATTATTGTTCTCCGTAAATATCATAATATATTGAAACTTTACAAAATGATATTAAATTGTTAAATTATTTGATGACCTTGAAGATGATTAAAGAATACTGTATTATAAGCTTAGTATAATTTTGTAACAATATACTACATATTACTAAATTAAAACCCCATATGCAGGTTAGTCTGTCTAGCTCTAACTCCAAACTAATTTATTTATTTACTTTGAGAACATACACCTTTGGAACGGCGGCACACACAAGAGTAATGCGTTCAGATTAAATTACAAAAACATAAAATTTAACTAAAAATGGAGCACCCTTCTACACAATCTTTGATAAAATATGCATATAAACACGAAAAAAACTGTACATACAAAATAAGACTACAAATTTTAAAATTATACCATTGAAAATTATAGGTATGGAATAACTTTTATACAGGCATACTCCTAAACAGATATACAATACAGTATATTGTCTGTATTTATATCAGTGGCGTAGAAGTCTTAAAATGAAGGCGTAAAGGTGAAGTAGGAGGGTTCGATGATCAGTTAAGGGGCGCTAATTCGCAAAATATGGTGAATATTGAGTGTGCGAGTAACTTTATTTTTGGGGGGGTGCCCTCCCCTAGATACGCCACAGCTGTATACTTGTAAAGGGTCGCTCCCAAATATCAGCATTTTCACAAGTGCACAAACATTATGCTGGGGAGGGGGGTAGACCAATTTATACGCTTTTACATATGCATGAACTTTTATGACCAAATTTGAGTGCAATCATGGATATAATGTACATTAACTGATGTACTGGTAAGCAAATACAGTAATTTACAGTAGTTAGTTGTTTTGCAATATCTATATCAAGGGAGGGGGTAACAGAGAACAGTCCCTAAGGATCATTCCTGGTAATTTTGAGCTCAATTGGCTTTTTTGAAAATTTGATCCCAATGACCCCTACAGTAAGTGACAACTGATCCCAGACTGGGGTGTAGGAAGTGTCACTGGCTCTTAATGACTATATATACCAACATTTAACAGGTGATGCCATATCTTAAAACATCCTGAAAAGGGTCAACATTTAAACGCACTGCGTAAGAGCAATCTTTATTACAATCAAAAAGAAAGATTGGATATTACAATATTTTACAAAATTGTACTACAAGGAACAGTCCTGTCTTCAGGAATTTGGCCACAAGGGAAAAGCATATGACTGCCTAGAGCTTAGGTCAGGGTCCGTAATTGAATTTACTACGCGGACTGCGCTGCAACCAATGGGGTGTACTTACGCCTCACAAAGAGTTTATCCGCGGATCTCAGGAAAAATTATTTTAAACTTACAAGTTTTAGAAAACAACCCAACCCAAACTAACCAACCAACCAACCAACACAAGCAGCTCCAATCTGACATGCATTGTTGCCACAAGCATTTAACAATGAAATTAAATATCACTTCATCCATCAATCAATCAAACAAATCAATCAATCAATCAGTCAGTCAACTGCTACAAATGTTATTGCATCACATGTTCAAAGTAAGATTCTGCTCAATGGCGCATTCAGAATATTTGACAAAACAACTTACAGTGCATGCATTAGATGATCATAATAGGAATACAGATTGTGTAAGTTAATGACTTAAACTATAAACATGTGTAACTTACAAGATTCACAAAATTGCCCAGTGTAGCAATTAGGACAGGTACATGTGTAAGCTGTACAGGAACCAGAAACCTGAACACAAGCAGCTCCATTTTGACATGCATTGTTCCTGCAAGGACTTAACACTGAAATTAAATATCACTTAATCAATCAATCAATCAAGTGCTAGAAATGTTATTTTATCAAGAATAAGATTCTGCTCAGTGACGCATTCAGGATATTGGACAGAACAACCTACACTGCATGCATTAGATGATAATAATAGGAATACAGATGGTATAGGCCATGTGGTAAAAATCCTATCATTCAACCCAGTTAAGAAATTATCATTATACTCGAACTCCTTGTGATAATTATTTTAATAAAATTCAAAAGCTCTACGAAAATGTTCGACAGTATGAACTTCTACAAACACAAGAAAATGACTCAAAACTATAAACATTTTAAACTTCACCAGTTTCACAATTCAATATATAAACATGTGTAACTTACGAGTTTCACAAAATTGCCCAGTGTAGCAACTAGGACAGGAACATGTGTAAGCTGTACAGGAACCAGCAACCTGAACACAAGCAGCTCTATTTTGACACAGATGGTTGGTGCAAGCATTTAAAACTGAAATTAAATATTACTTCATCAATCAATATATATATATATATATATATTCACTCACCACTGAGGAAGGACTAGTGTTGTCCGAAAGCTCTGGTTCTATTTCTGGTTGTTTACTTACATTTACTTTTTAGCTGTTGCTTATCATTTTTGTATCTCTACCGAGATCCAGCCATTGTTTCCCACAGCATTGTTGTTTTTCAGTATTTTGCCTTTTAATCTATATATAAATTTATATATATATATATATAAATATATATAAATATAAATATATATATATAAATTCGCTTAATATAGAAAACGTAAATGTGATATTCAAGTGCTATGCTGTTTAAAATGTTCCAATTATTGATAATTGGTGCATTTCTGGGATGCAATGGAGGATTAACCCTTCCAGTTACCGGTTGCTGTCTCCTTCAGTAGAATTTGTTTGCACGAGGAAATACCACTGCATCATATTTCATAGAGCAATTTACAGTCATCATGAAGAACTTTAATGCCAATAGTCATAATTTTGTATGGTATTCCAATTAATTTTGGGAGGTTCGTTTCAGTGGAAAGTGGACCCTTATTTCCGATACCCTGGAGAAAATTGCAAATGTATCTACGAATATCAATTTTTAGTTTTTAAATGCGGACTTCTCAAGTTTTTGGGCAGTTTGTCATAACCTCCTTAACCACCCCCACCCACACTACGGGCCTGCATTCTTTGCTGGACTGCCAACTAGTGCAGTTATATCAGAACATGAGCTGTGTGATCTTGTTTGTTACTAATGCTAAAATTCCTACTACAAAATTAAATACTTTGTCTACTTTATACAGCAAACCAGATTCATATAATGCTTACTTTTACAGTCATATTAGAAAAACAGAGCTAAATGAAAACCAACATAGGTATATGTGGACTGATTAAAATACTCACAAGCAGTTTACAAAGCTACTGTAAGGAATGGAGAGCCATTGCATCCAACCCTGCTAATATCACTTTAAATAGAAGATGGTGGCATATGGCAATATTCCTGAACAAAAACATTCAAATAATAAAGTAGTTCAAGAAATTAATGAAACATGACACCTGTTCAAAGACCATTACAGTATTAAGTTTTATGTGGCATGAATCTAATCCTATAGGTGGATCCAGAACTATGCAGTCAGGTGGTCCAACAGGTCCAAAGTAAGAGGCAGCCTTCAGCCTCATTCCTGGTCCTTGAATTAATCCTTTGGTGGGATTTATGGATTAGGGTAATGTATTTATGAAGTTTTACAATGAATCAAGATTGTTACTGTAGATCTATCCTCCCACTAAATTTACCAGCTGTTATAGGCAAATGTTTAAATGTATACTCAGGAGGTGTAAATATTTTCGCATAATTATAATCAAATTTTGTTATAATTTATAGTATTTTTTATTACAGATCTTTTCGTTCAGCACAAAGTGTAAAAACATTTAACCTGTTTCTTTTCAAAGTTAAAAAACACCCCGATTCACTTCCACTGGTTATACAAAATAGCTTATTCTTGCCTAGATCAGACTGGTGGATAAACACGGCTCAACTCACTGGGTTTATCAACCTGCCAGTCTCACCTATGTGGCTTATCTCAAGCCGGGCTGTGTTCCTATAGTAACTAGGCAGAGCGTGCCACCGTGTTTAGCGCCAGGTCTAGTTTATATCAAAGATACTAGAAATACAAGATAGAGTTCTCCACACAAAAAAAGTGTTCCACCGTGTTCCACCGAAATGCATGGTGGGAATATGAACAATGGGACGCCCCCTACAGCTGGATCTAAAAAAACTTGTGCCAAACTTTCGTTACCAAGTCGTCGCGTATTTTATTATCAATTCTAAATTAAAAAATTGTACACCACGATGCGCTATGGCGACGTACGGTATTGGAGGGCGTTGCTGTGCAGTAAATTGCAACACATCATACAAACAGGGTCATAATTTATATCGATTTCCAAAGGATAGAGAAAGGTAAAATATTGCACTGACATTAAACAAAAAATTAGCTATATATATTATAAATATATATTAACATTTTGTTTTTTCAAACTTGACATATGAATTAGCCTAGGTCTATTGACTTGCATAGCTAAGATATTGAAGAAAAATAAATAAATAATTAGACTAGCCTAAAATAATGAAAAAAAGTACTAAATATTACTCGTTCGTATAATAATGTTAGTATTGTATGCAGTTAGTTATTTATGAATGACGTGAAAATGTAGCTCTTTTGGAAAAGGAAATTTAATAATATTAATACAGGTCTAACTCTAATTACTTAAGACCACTTTTTGGACCGGGATTTCCATGGTCTACCTACCTAGCATAGCCTATATCTGCTTTTTAATCTCTAATTAGAATAAACAAAGCTAATTTTTTTTACTTAATCTGGGACCAAAGTCTAAGTAATAATAAAAACTCTAAGTAATAATACCATCATATTTTTTTTAAGGAATGGGCCTTGGTAAAAGTGAAAGTCATCTAGCCTATTATTATATAGGAAGGCAGAATTAATAACTGTGATCACAAAAAATGTTCATATAATTTTCGCCTGGAAGACTATTAATATTTTAGGTAGTCCGAAGCCTACTCCTACATCAATTCTTGGCATTCATAAAAAAATAGAATTTAATTCCCATGAATCAGTACTTTTTGTTTACCAAAAAACCAATTATTTATGTATAGAATAGGTCTAAAAGGTAAAATTAAAATGCCAGTAAATTCGTCATGACTTTAGAATAATTCAATTAGGAATAGATGCGCGATGCACGTTAGACCTCACCTGGACAATACGCATAATTGCAACTATTATTAGCTGACCTCGATATACACGTTAATAAAGAAAGCTACGATGGCTAGGCCTAGGAGTTGTTGTTAGTCCCTTGTTTGGTCTTGTCAGAGACCAATGATTTTTTTTTTTTTTTGATTTTTTTTTTGTCTTTCATTGGTGCATCCCGCCTTTACTTCAACCATCGCGAAATATTTTTTTGCACAATTTGTTGTCAAAGAATTACATAAATATAATTCTTCCTACCAGGAATATAAATTTTTTCACAATAAATGTATTGCAAAGAACGAAATAAATAATCGTAAATAAATGAGGGTTATTTAGGTATGGAGATACAACTCCACTGGTAATAAATACAGATAATAATATTTGAGGGCAAATAAACAAATCTTTTTTGGCCTAATATAAACCCAGTTAGATAGGCCTATCATAGGCCTGGCCCTAGGCCAGACCCATAGGCGAGACCCCAGCCTAGGCTAGATAGGTAGGCTACTCTAACAAAAATAAAAAAAAAATAAAAAAGAAAGCGTATTTTAAAATATGCTTTCAAAATCAAGTGCATAATATATACATACCAATAAATGATGTACGTTTTTAAAGCATATGTCCCATGATGAGTACATCTTCCCGGTCTTGCAGAAATAGGGTTAATGAAAAATAATAAGTATTGGAAACATATAAAGAAACACACATCGTCCAGCCTTCTTCTGGGCACGTCTATACAGCCAGTAGTCTAGCAGTTAAAAATTAACTTATTAAATATAATTTAACTTTTTAGGCGAAAATGTGCATTAAAATTATACGCATGACGCATGCGTGGTCTAGGGGGCGATCTCAAATATAAATAATAAAATAATCAAATTATCGTACAGTACTATATTATGTTTAAATACATATTTAGCTAAATTCTTATCTGTATTGATGCTATGATAGGCTATACAATACAATATAAGAATAATTGTTGTTTAATACAACTTGTACTCTGTATCATTGTTTTATTTCACACAGGTGTGAAAAATGGATCCGAAATTGCTGCAGGGACGATTTATTAACAAAGTCTGCAAACTATTTACGTACGAAATGCAGATTGTGTTCTTTGCATTTTGAGGAATCAAACAAATTCAAATATTCTAATGAATTGGTATGGAATGTCATTCCTACAAAATTTGAAAACACACCTGAAAAAGTGACAACGAAACGAAAATTGTCTGTACAAAATGATGACCTTGTCCCAACACCAGCAAAACTTACGAAGGGTAAGTAGACTTTCTTGGATTACAAAAGTTATTATAGATTGTTTTAATTGCAGAAAAAAATGTATGCCAAAAAAAAAAAAAAAAATTCCACAAACAACAATTAAGATTTTGAATAGCTAAATTCAATTAAGTCATCATAAGCTTCAAACTATTTTATAATATATAGATTCAGTTTTAGCGGATGAGCCCGGCGTCTATGATAAGCCTTCTGATGATTTTGTAACAAGAGATGGATCACAATCTAGCAAAATTGATTCAGGTTAGAATTTTGTAGTTTCTTTTATTGAGAAGTATAGAGGGCTTAAAATGTCGATAGTGACAGTTGTGTACTGAATTTTAAAAGCAACCCACCCACAGTATCCGACTCGCTAAATACATGTACATTTCTATTTTATAATTATTATATAGATTAGAAAGAAAGTGCAAGAAATTAATGGCAAGAGATAAACGTAACAGAACAAAAATTGCAAGGCTGAAGGCAAAGATTAAAAAAATGAAGAAGTTAAATGATGATTCCACAAAATATGTATTTGAAAAGTGCAGAAAGTATATGAGCGGTAAAGCTTTAGCTTTCTTTTCCAGCCAACTTAAGAACTGTAGGAGACGGAGTAAGGGCAGACGTTCCAGCAAAGATGACAGACAATTTGCAATGGCACAACACTATCAATCCCCTCGAGCTTTATATAGGTTTTGCAGGCGATACTTTGCACTCCCTCATGAGAAAAACCTTCAAAAGTGGCTAGGGCAAATTGAGATCCAGCTAGGGTTCAATAATTCTACGTTTGAATCGCTTAAATTACGCTGCTCTACATTCGGCCCAAAAGAGAAAGTATGCGTCCTCACCATCGACGAAATGAGTCTAAAGGCTGGGTTAACATATGACCAACATAAAGATGTAATGGAGGGATTAGAAGACTACGGGAGCCTGGGAAAAACACAAAAAGTTGCGACGCAGGCACTGGTCTTTATGGCCCGCGGAATGTCTTCCAAATGGAAGCAGCCATTGGGGTAATTTCTTGCTTCCGGCGCTACCCCAGGTACCACACTACAACTTCTGTTAATGGATTGTATTAATAGATTACATGCCACTGACTTAATGGTAAAGGTAGTAATAGCAGATCAGGGTTCTAACAACCGCAGTATGTTTACAGCCCTAGGCATAACTGCCGAAAAGCCCTATATAACCTACAATTTCGGCGATGGGAGTGATAATTACAAGATCTTCTTTATGTTCGCTCCTCCCCATTTGCTCAAAAGTATATGTAATAATTTTAAGAGCCACGTATTGATGATTGACGGCAACGAAATTAACTGGAAGTATGTTGTCGAATTTTATAGGCATGACTCGAAATTGCCTTTAAGAATGGCGCCAAAGTTAACCGACAAGCACATAGAATTGCCTCCATTTTCACCCATGAGGGTGTGCCTTGCAGCCCAGGTATTAAGTCACAGTGTGGCCGCTGGCGTATTAACTTACGCTGCTCTCGGAAAGATCCCTGCAGAAGCTGTGCACACTGCAGAATTCATTTCCAATTTCGAACAAATATTTGATTCGTGCAATTCAAGAAATATATTTGACAAAATTATCTACAGGACGGCAGCTAGCGCAAATTCAATTCACTTAAATTTCTGGAAAGAATCAAGAGATTGGATAAAAAAATTAAGGTTAAAGACGGTTCAACAACAAAAGTTGCATGCTTAAATGGGTGGGTGGTAACATTAACAGCCATGATTGAATTATTCTTTGAGCTCAATAATAATCACAATTTCGCTTTTATGTTAACCAATAGATTAAATCAGGACTGTTTAGAAAATTCGTTTTCAATAATTAGAGGGAGGGGAGGTCACAGATTTAACCCAATGGCCCATGAGTTTAGGGCTGCTTTGAAACAGGTAATGTGCAGCAAAATGATGGTGCCGTTAGGCAATCAAAACAGTGCTGCGGACGAGGATGAATTCCTTGATATACCATTAATAGAAAAACCTAAATCTAAAATTCAGCAGGAAGCAGACGAAAGCGAAGAAAACGTTGACATTGATGTTAGTGTAGAACAGGCTGAAAGCAATACTATTGTATATGTTGCTGGGTATTTAATTAAAAAATTGTTGTTAAAACATGATTGCAATGTATGTAGAACGGCTTTAAAAAATGAAATATTGTATATGGAGGAACCATTGCATCTGCTCACCCATTTCAAAGCATACGATACAAAGAAAGGAGATTTTGGATCGTTGTTTGTGCCAACGGAAAATTTTTACAATATAATTGTTGCAAGTGAGAAGGTTTTTGTTAAATATTTCAATAATTACTTACATTTAAATAATATTCGTGAGAAAATAGTAAGTAGGATAATTGCTACTCTAAAGTTATCGGGTAGACAATTAAATTTATGTAGCCCTGGTGTTGAAATGTCATTGATTGATTTGTTTGTCAAATTGAGGTTGTTTTATTCCGTTAAACTTTACAATAGAACATTAAAAACTGACAAAAGAGGGCATAAAAAAAGAATAGGAAATTAGTTAAGGTATCTCCCCTGTGAGAAACGGTGATGTTGAGAGGAGCGTAGCCGGCTAAATTGTTAAAGGATGTACCGTATCATTACATCAGACTCAGACAATTGTCTCAGCACTGAGATACATTTACATAATTTCCTATCTCGACGAATAATTAATATTGAATCGAATCATCAGGTTATATAATAAAGCCGAATTTTTATATTATCTTTTTATATCTTAATATATATATATACATATTTTTTTAAATACTTTTTAACCGGTAATTGTGCATATATGAATTCAGTCATCAAGATTTAATTATACAATATATATCTCGGAGAGATACAAAAATGATAAGCAACAGCTAAAAAGTAAACGTAAGTAAACAGCCAGGAATAGAACTAGAGCTTTCGGACAACGCTAGTCCTTCCTCAGTGGCGAGTGAGTGAGGGTAGAAAAAGCCTGATAGTATAAAGTGAGAATTTAATGCAAGCATGATTAGAAACAATAGGCTAGGTGGGATTAGAATAAACAGCCTAAACAAGTAAACAGGAAGGCCA